GATTAGAGAGAATAAGAAGAAGGGGGAGAGAGAAATATAGAGAAAATTTACTTTATTCAACTGAAGAAAACTGCTCTTCCTCCAACAACCTCATGGCATCAGTTTGTGCACGCCAAAGACGCAGACATTGGTTGATGAGGACTCAAAATGCTGAAGATCAAAAATCTGGACTCCACTTTTTTCCTCCTTCTGATCTTCCTTTCTGCTGTTGGTCAGAGGAGACGGCCTATATGATGAGTACCAAAAGGCGGCAAAAACCTTATTCTATGACTCGGCCATTTTGAGACAACAGAGAGAGAGATAGAGATAGAGATTGTGAATGGCTGCAAAAACTGTCGTGAGAGAGAGACTGTGTGGAATGGCTGAACTGAAAGTGATTAATATATATGGATAGACAGAGGGGACAGGGAGGGAGATTTTTTTCAGACAGTGATGGCTGAGTGAGAGAGACACATTTGAACATGAATATAGTCCTCTCCTCTCTCTCAATCTAGTATATAGTCTGCTTCTTTACCTTCCTTAGCCTCTGTTTGGTAAGTGGGTTGGCTTTTTGGTTTTTTGGCTTTTTTGGCTATTTTAGCCTGGGTTAAAAAGTTTGATTTGGGAAGATTTTTTGGCTTTTTGGCTTTTTTGTGAGAGAAGAATGTAATGATTGTGGGTTGGATGTGATATTTTGTTTTTTATGACTAAAGTAACCTATTTTATCTTTTATGACTAAAATAGCCAAAAAAGCCCCGTTTGCTCTTGCCAAACGGAGCCTTATTTTCTCTTCCCTCTCTTCTCTGGAAGTTTCATTCATTCCTTCCTTCCTTTCTAATTTTCAAAAGCCAAAATATCCTAATATGCTTATTTCCATAATTTTCATAATTTGAATTATTTACAATATGAATATTATTTTGAATTATTTATAATATGAATAATTTGAATAATTTGAATTAATAATTTGAATAATTATCCTAATAATTTGAATAATTTTCATAATTTGATTATTTACAAAAGGTAATATATCCTAATATGCTTATTTCCATAATTTGAATAATTTGAATTATTTACAATATGAATAATTTGAATTCACTTTTCATAAAATTATACTTTTTCGTTTTCCATATTTTTTTGTTTTCACTGAATTTTTTTTATTTAAAGTAATTTTTAAAACTTTTAAAAACAACTAACATAAATACATTTAAAGGATAATATTTGTGAAAAAAAATCTTTAAAAATCCACAAAATACAAAAAAACACAAAAATAAAAAAATTAGTACATTTTTCTATTTTTATGTATTTATTAATTTTTAAAAATATTTTTTCACAAATAATTTACTATTTAGATACATCTAAGTAAGGTATATCTAAAAAAGTAAAAAAGTAAGGTATTTTTTTCATTAAAAAAATGCTTAAAATTTTAAAAATATTACTAAAAAAAAAAAAAAATACGAAAAATAAAAAATTTAATTTTCAAATAACTAAATCCATAAAAGTGAAACCAAGCATGCTGATTGTATTTTTTATTATGATGTTTGGATGAGTAAAAAAAAAAATTATGTAAAAGAAAGATATATGAGTGAGATTTCCATTGTTATTGTATTTTAGAAATGATTTTGGTATTATATATTTTACAATCAATCAACTTGTTTATCATTAAATCTCATCATTTTTTTTTCTGTGAGAAATTAAATAGTCTTAATAAGATATTTGGCTCCGTTTGGTTTAGTTTTAAAATAAGGATTTGAATGTAGAATTGTTATAAACACAATTTCGTATCCTGCTGTGTGGGTGAAAAATCTGACCACACTGCCCGTTTAGTGATCAACTAGAGAGCATAGGCAGAATAGATGGCTTTAGCAACCTGTAACAGAAAGAAAAAGCTCCGGCGGTGGTTCTTCCACCCGGGGACACTCCACGATCAAGTCAATAATCTCTCAAAGATAAATCACGTGCCAAACTAAATACTCAAAACATAAATTGCATACCTTAGACCCACGGGGGTGCCTCTCTTTATAAATATACTCAATCCAAGTCCACTTGAAGTATGACTTCTATGAACTCCAATTTTAGTGCTTACTTTGGACTCTTTAAGAGATAAAGATAAACTCCTTAAGAGCTTTATCCTTATCTTGGTTAAGTTCCCTCTTTGCCTTAAGACTCTTGTCCCTTATCTGCTTATCTCGGATTCCGATATCTTCGGGTATAACCTCGGCAACTCCGAGATCTTCTCGGCTTAACTACCACGACACGTGGCACCTCGGCTGACACGTCGGCGTCACCATGCCACGTGTTGGTATTCAGAAATATATCCCACAACTGCCCCTAGGTTCTATTACCTCGGCATTCTGAGGTGATGGAACCTATTCCGATATTTTGTCACATTTTTTCTGAGTAATGGCTCAAAAACTGATTAGCCAAGATTATCCACTTTCAGCCATGTGTTTCTCTTCGGAGAATAAGGTTTCGATCGTACTCTCGACTTTGCCTCCCAAGCTCAAACCAAGCATTCTACCACTCCACACTCGACCTCTTGGGCCCAAATTCTGGAAAACATCATTAAATTCAATGTATAACAAGTTTCAAAGCTCAATTTATGAATTCAAGCCCCAAAGGTGAGTCAATTAGAACCATATTCAAACCCATTTTCAAGAATATGAAGAACATGCAACATGCAAGGATTTAAACCAAATCAAAGCTTCAAAGCTTGTTCAAATGAGCTCATTCTTTTCAAAACAAGATGAAAACATGGTCTACTCTTACAACATGGACATGCATGTAACCATTTACCATGAATTCAACTCAAAACTCATTAATTCAACCATGCATGCATGAAATGAGCTTCAATTCACCATTAATGACCCAAATCATGACTTAGTTCTACAGTGAAGCATGAATCATGCAAGAACTAGTTCAATAGCATCAATAAGAAGATAGGATCCTTACCTAGAGCTTGAATTAGAAGACTAGGAGCTCAAATATGCAATCTATACTTCAATTCCTTCGATTCTCCAAGCAAAACCCAAGGTAGAATTCAATTTCTCTCACTCTCTCTCCTCTCTTCCCTCTTGGTCGGCAATGAGAAGGAAAATGGCTGAGGAAATGTTGTTCTTGGCTCAAGTATGTGTGTGAGATAGTGGCCCACTCAATGGCAAAACGGTAATTAAGTCCAACTCTTCAATTGGCTTATTTTAATCTAATTTAATCATACCTAATCAATTTTCAGATACTTATACCATAAAATCACATTAAATATGAGGGTCACGTAACATCAATCGGTTTCTAGTTCGGCCGCCGATAAGGCCTTCAATTAGCAGTTTAAACATATAAACATGAACAGATAATCAGACAATCAAACAGATAGAATACAATTAACTAACACATACTCAGTCAATTCAGTTTCAATTTCAGTCAGTCAGTTCAGTATTTCGTTCAGTTCGATTATCAGTCAGTTATCAGTTCCGTTTAGCAGTAATCGGTGATTATCGGTAATCAATCAGTCCTTAATCAGTAAACAGTATGAGGGTTGTTACAAATCTGACCCGAATAAATTTCCAATTAAGTTCCACCGTAGGCTCTAAAAATTATGCCAATCACAATGGCGTAATCAATTTCGGGTTCTGTGGCCGATAGGGCCCTCAATTTAATTTCCAAAGTAGGTTACTCAAACAGATATTCCTACAGTGAACAGATAGAATTGCAAAATCACATATATTCACATAATGGCACATAAAGTCAGGCTGAACGCCTAATCATATTCAAATTAAGGACCAATTTAGCATAATACAGAACAGGGGTATCACACATAGGCTTCTCAAAACTTTTTCATCATGCTCGCAATAAGGATTGAGGAACACATCCATGAACAAAACAGCCTTAGTCGGCTGGGCGTCATTCTCCATAGATCACATCCCAATGCCACACTTCTTCAAAAACACAATCCTCAAACATTCTACAATTCTAATAGAGCAATAATCAAATGTAGGACTCCTCATCATTTTTCATGATTCTTTTACTTGTGTTCAATAGTGTAAGCACTGCAACTTGCAAGTTCAACATGCAAAATAAATCCCAATAATTTCTACATCCTCTCATAATCAATATTTATACTGCTCAACTCTTTCTACAAAACTTGACAGAAACATTTCAAGCAAACTATTGTGGTATTTTTCTCTAGGAGAAATTTTTGTTTTTTTGTTTTTTTCCTTTGTTTGATAGGAAAACTTCGAAAATTTATAGATATTGTGTGTTGTGCAAAAGCATTCGTAGTTAAGATTCTTGACAATGTCAACTACTGGTACTAAAGCATCCACAGAGCAGTGAGAAAACCAATACATCTATCTAATTACTTGGATAAAAGAAACCAAAATTCAGAAACACCGAAAAGCTAGGCTCATTCAAGTTCGGTACCATCTTTATCTATGGTTTATTTCAAACATAAATCAGGGATAATTTGTATCCATAAAACTAATGTTAAATCCCTTTACCTCTCTATTAAGGTTTAGGCCGATTAGAATTAAAACCGATCTTATAATGATCTTGTGCTTCATGTCCCTTGTTTCAAAATTACGATAGTCTGAGCAAATACTATCATCTATGACTGATCTAGAGTATAAACCATACTCTCATTTTTTATTTTATTTTTTTGTGATAAGTTCCTTTTATTGTCATATTTTAATCTTATCTTCTAAATCACATCTTGATATTTCCATAGCTTCCATGAATCCATCCAATCTAATGCATTGTAAAATAATTTTTTATGAGCAAATAATTTTATTAAAAAGAGGCACCAAGGGGCTCAAAGCATATCAACTATACAAACTCAACCATTCAAAATTCTCTATAAAAATCCAAAATCCTCCTAATGCAATTTAAAATATTCCCCAAAACACTTGATTTTTCATCATAAAACCAAATTTCCCTTGAAAGGAAGGTTCGGAATCATTTAACAACATTTTCCCATGTATTTGAGTTTAAGGACCCTCTACTCAACTTTTCATGCATCTTTATTTTGGAGGAACACTTGTATGACAGCCATTCATAGAAGATTATTGGTTTTAAGCTCAATAACTATTAAAACCCCTTCCAAGTTCCAATCTTTAAGCAACACAAGTAAATTACATATGGCTTGTAATCATCAAGGAATGGAAAAAAGAAAAGAAAAGAAAAGAAAATGAATTGAGTCTATAAAAGGAAATGGACTAAACAATACTATTCATTATCTGTAAATTTCAGATTCAATTTCACTTGCACCCAAACTTCAATTATAGCAATTGATAACATACTATAGTAACTACAATTAAAATGTAGAAGCACAGAAGTTAGAGAACAGTACCAATGAGACGGGGATGTAGCAGTAGGGCTGCAAATCCCTGGTGACTTGAGTGTAACACTGCCACTACCTTCCGAAACAGAAGAGCTGGACGCAGCAGCAGATTGTTTGTTCCGGTAGACAAGTTTACATTTTGAAGATTCAAGTGCTACACTAAGGCTTTATGAAGCTAAAAAGCACACAACAAACCAAGGGAGTATTATTGTATGATGATAATCGCATCGTCACAAATGAAAAATTAAACTATAACCAGAATTATTATACTAACAAGTACCACAAGCAACAAGTCATCAGCAGCTATATTTACCAAACCTAAATTCCCACACATTTTATTTACAGAATCAAGGAAATAATATAACAGTATTCCTTTCAAGCGTTCAAACCCAGACATTTTTGCTGCAAATCATTACAGTAAAATCAAACCCATTTACGATATCAAACCCATAAAGCTCTAGAAATCAAGCCACTTAAACCAAACCCATTTAAGAAATCAACACGAAATTGAACAGAATAAATCATATAAAACCCTATAGCAAGAGTTGACAGTTGGGGAATAGAGGAAAGGAGAGAGAGAAGTAGAGCCTCCTTCATCAATATTCAAGCTTGCTTTTTAAAACAAGCAATGAGGAATGAGGATGCGGGCTTCTTCGGTTTGTTGGGATCAGCAATCTGCAAGTTCCCAAAATATGAAATTGTTGTTGCAGAGACACAGAGAGAGAGAGATTGAGAGAGAAAGACAGAGTTAATTGAACCTTTTCATACGGCTTCTTCTGTTCCTCTGTCATGTTATTCCATTCTTCAATTACCTCCCAGCCACTCTTGCTCTCTGCTCGTCGCTCATTTCTGAACATGAAAAACGCAGACATCGGTTGCTTCGGCTTCAACGGGTCCTTCTCTTTCCTGTAGAAATTCAATGAGACAAAGATTAGAGAGAATAAGAAGAAGGGGGAGAGAGAAATATAGAGAAAATTTACTTATTCAACTGAAGAAACTGCTCTTCCTCCAACAACCTCATGGCATCAGTTGTGCACGCCAAAGACGCAGACATTGGTTGATGAGGACTCAAAATGCTGAAGATCAAAAATCTGGACTCCACTTTTTTCCTCCTTCTGATCTTCCTTTCTGCTGTTGGTACAGAGGAGACGGCCTATGATGGAGTACCAAAAGGCGGCAAAAACCTTATTCTATGACTCGGCCATTTTGAGACACAGAGAGAGAGAGATAGAGATAGAGATTGTGAATGGCTGCAAAAACTGTCGTGAGAGAGAGACTGTGTGGAATGGCTGAACTGAAAGTGATTAATATATATGGATAGACAGAGGGGACAGGGAGGGAGATTTTTTTTCAGACAGTGATGGCTGAGTGAGAGAGACACATTTGAACATGAATATAGTCTCTCCCTCTCTCTCATCAATAGTATATAGTCTGCTTCTTACCTTCCTTAGCCTCTGTTTGGTAAGTGGGTTGGCTTTTTGGTTTTTTGGCTTTTTTGGCTATTTTAGCCTGGGTTAAAAAGTTTGATTTGGGAAAGACTTTTTGGCTTTTTGGCTTTTTTGTGAGAGAAGAATGTAATGATTGTGGGTTGGATGTGATATTTTGTTTTTTATGACTAAAGTAACCTATTTTATCTTTTATGACTAAAATAGCCAAAAAAGCCCCGTTTAGCTCTTGCCAAACGGAGCCTTATTTTCTCTTCCCTCTCTTCTCTGGAAGTTTCATTCATTCCTTCCTTCCTTTCTAATTTTCAAAAGCCAAAATATCCTAATATGCTTATTTCCATAATTTTCATAATTTGAATTATTTACAATATGAATATTATTTGAATTATTTATAATATGAATAATTTGAATAATTATCCTAATAATTTGAATAATTATCCTAATAATTTGAATAATTTTCATAATTTGAATTATTTACAAAAGGTAATATATCCTAATATGCTTATTTCCATAATTTGAATAATTTGAATTATTTACAATATGAATAATTTGAATTCACTTTTCATAAAATTATACTTTTTCGTTTTCCATATTTTTTTGTTTTCACTGAATTTTTTTACTATTTAAAGTAATTTTTAAAACTTTTAAAAACAACTAACATAAATACATTTAGAAAGGATAATATTTGTGAAAAAAAATCTTTAAAAATCCACAAAATACAAAAAATACAAAAATAAAAAAAATTCAGTACATTTTTCATATTTTTATGTATTTATTAATTTTTAAAAATATTTTTTCACAAATAATTTACTATTTAGATACATCTAAGTAAGGTATATCTAAAAAAGTAAAAAAGTAAGGTATTTTTTCATTAAAAAAATGCTTAAAATTTTAAAAATATTTACTAAAAATAAAAAAAAATACGAAAAATAAAAAATTTAATTTTCAAATAACTAAATCCATAAAAGTGAAACCAAGCATGCTGATTGTATTTTTTATTATGATGTTTGGATGAGTAAAAAAAAAATTATGTAAAAGAAAGATATATGAGTGAGATTTTCATTGTTATTGTATTTTAGAAATGATTTTGGTATTATAAATATTTTACAATCAATCAACTTGTTTATCATTAAATCTCATCATTTTTTTTTCTGTGAGAAATTAAATAGTCTTAATAAGATATTTGGCTCCGTTTGGTTTAGTTTTAAAATAAGGATTTGAATGTAGAATTGTTATAAACACAATTTCGTATCCTGCTGTGTGGGTGAAAATCTGACCACACTGCCCGTTTAGTGATCAACTAGAGAGCATAGGCAGAATAGATGGCTTTAGCAACCTGTAACAGAAAGAAAAAGCTCCGGCGGTGGTTCTTCCACCCGGGGGCACTCCAACGATCAAGTCAGTATATCTCTCAAAGATAAATCACGTGCCAAACTAAATACTCAAAACATAAATTGCATACCTTAGACCCACGGGGGTGCCTCTCTTTTATAATATACTCAATCCAAGTCCCACTTGAAGTATGACTTCTATGAACTCCAATTTTAGTGCTTACTTTGGACTCTTTAAGAGATAAAGATAAACTCCTTAAGAGCTTTATCCTTATCTTGGTTAAGTTCCCTCTTTGCCTTAAGACTCTTGTCCCTTATCTGCTTATCTCGGATTCCGATATCTTCGGGTATAACCTCGGCAACTCCGAGATCTTCTCGGCTTAACTACCACGACACGTGGCACCTCGGCTGACACGTCGGCGTCACCATGCCACGTGTTGGTATTCAGAAAATATATCCCCACAGAAAGAAATTGGCAGTCGATCAACTAAACATGAAAAAAAAAAAATAATAATTAACACATAAAATACATCATATAATTAGCAAAGGTGATGGAACCTATTCCGATATTTTGTCACATTTTTTCTGAGTAATGGCTCAAAAACTGATTAGCCAAGATTATCCACTTTCAGCCGATGTGTTCTCTTCGGAGAATAAGTTACCATTGGTGGAATTTGCATACAACAGTAGTTTCCATTCTAGCATTGACATAACACCATACGAACACTTGTGTAGCAAAAAACGTAGGTCTCCTATATGTTGGACTGAAGTTGGGGATAGAGTCTTTCTAGGACTCGAGATTGTGCAAACAACCACTGAAAAGATTTAAGTCATTCAGTAAAGGCTCAAAATCGCATAAAGTCGACAAAAGAGCTATGCAGATCATAGAAGAAGAGCTCTTGAGCATGAAATAGGTGATCATGTGTCTATAAGGGTAATTCTGATGAAGGGTCAATCGAGGTTTGGCAAGAAAGGCAAATTATCACCTCGATATATTGGGCCGTTTCAGATTCCGGAAAGGCTTAGTCTGATTGCATACCGAGTTGCACTACCATCGAGAATGGAACAAATGCACAATATGTTTCATGTGTTGATGTTGAGGGGCTATCTCCGAGGTCCATTCCATGTTATTAACCATCATCGAATAACACTTGATGATGATATGATCTATGAAGAAAAGCCATTCAAATTATCGATCGACAAGTCAATTAGTTGAGAAACAAATCGATTCCTATGGTAAAAGTAGAATGGAAGGAACATTATGGCACAAAAGCAACTTAGGGGGAAAAAAAAGATGAAATGAGGCAAAGGTACCCTGAGTTGTTTCCGATTCAAGGTAACATAAATTTGGAGGAACAAACTTCTTAAAGGGGGAAGACTATGACAACACCATTCTGTAATATGCTTTTAATTCCTTAATTGTGCATGTGCTTATGTGCTAAGCGTGAATTTGAGTGATTAATATGTCATTAATATGATTTTGACCTTATATCTGTTGATCATAGGAAAATATGTTATGATTTCTATTTGATCTGAAAATTGAAGGCCTTAATGGGGTCAGAAACCGAAATTGGCTATTTTATTGTGATCAACATAATTTTTAGAGCCTATTAGGAAGTTTGATTAAAATTTGATTCAATCCAAATTAATTAGATTAAACTAATTAGAACCAAGTGTAATTAGTTAATTTTAAGCTTTGATTAACACCCTAATCTAATCCTTAAGTATAAATATGTTGTAATTAAGAGCTTGAAGCCTTAATCATAAAATTGAGCTCAAAAATTCTGAGATAGGGAGCTTTAGAGAGAGAGAGAGAGAGAGAGAGAGAATTCAATTGTAGACAGAGAAAGAGCTTGAATTTGAAGAATTTTGCTTAAGGATTGAAGAATTAAGGAAGACAACTCAAGAACTTGCCAAATTGAGCTCAAATGAGGACTTTAGGTAAGCTTTTGAACCCTAATTCGTGAAACTAAGTTATTTCATATATGAATTCAAGAGAATTATGTGATTGAGTACAAGAATTAAGCTAAGATTGTTGAATTTAGAGAAAATTCATACATGCATGCATAGTTTGGTTGAGTTTCACCATTTTTTAGCATGATTATCTCATCCATGTTGAATTTCGAAGATGAATTGTACATGCATGCATGAATTACAAGGTTTTGAAACTGAATTGCATGTTTTGAAGCTTTGGAATAGAATTGGAAATTTAAAATCAACATGCATGAAGATTTGAGTTTTATTTGAGGAATTCTTGAAGCCTTGAGCTTTGATTTTTGAGAATTTGCTTTGTATTCATGTTTTTGAAAGATTTTCAAAGTTTTGTCATGCCATGTAAGAAATTGATTTGGAAACTGAAGCTTTGAAGCTCAACTCTGTTATGAAATTTCTAGAATTCTGCCTCACCGCTCGAGCGAACAATCTGTCTCTTGAGTGCACATTTCATGCATCCAGTATTTTTGCAAATAATTGCAGTTGGCTCAAGTGACAACCTTTTATATTGCACCTTGGCTTGAGCAAACATCGAGCCTAGATTCGAACCATCTAGTACTTTTGCAAACTAAGTGGTTCGCTCAAGCGACCAATGTTGCACTCGAGCAAAGTGCTCTATTTCAGCATTTTTTGAAAAGACATATTCTGATCAAATGAGCATTCTCATTCTTTTTTTTAGCATTCTTAGGCATGAATTGAACATCCTAAATGAATTTAAGGGTTAGAATGAAGCCTAGGAGAATTGAATAAGTTAAACAATAATCCGATTAAGTATTGTAATTCAACGTGTGTGTGTGTTGATGTATTATGTAGGATCATCTGCAAAGACAAGTCAATAATTGAATCACTGTGAGTAATATCTTAGTAAAGATATTTTCTTATTTACTTTATTTTCTGAATGTCCTTATGTGGTAAGCTTTTCCAAAATTGAGATTTTGCAAGCGTGAATGAGTTTTTATCTGTCTGATCAATGTGATATCTATGAATGCCATTGATGTGTCACGAATGTGTATGATGGACCCAAGGTCGTTCTGTATACTTGAATTAGACCCAATGTCATTCTGTGTAATTGAAATGGACCCAAGGTTGTTCTGTACATTTTATAAGATCGACCCAAGGTTGTTCTAAACATCCGATAAGTTTGATCATCTATTATGAGTTGATCAAATGGTCATTATATAGCTGTAAATGATTGGATCCGAGGTCATTCTATTATGATATGATAAATCCCATTCTGTACTACTGTTATATGTTGGATCCGAGGTTGTTCTTCTATCTGTTAGACCCAAGGTCGTTCTGTTACGTATTACTCGTGATATAGAAATGCTTATGTCAATTACTAGAACTCATTCACATAAACCCTTTGCTCTGATGTTATTCAGTGGGCTTTTGCTCACTAGTTTATATATATGCATGTAGATGAGCAACGGGATGTCCAGCCCCAGCCTTAGTGAACCTATGAAGGATACCAAGTTTTGTGAAGTCTGTTATGAGTGCCTCACGAGCAAGGCTTTTATTCTTTTGTCTTTTGAATTTCTATTTTCTTTTATTGGTCATGTTCAACCTTGTATAT